CTTAATCATTTTCATTATTTATTTATTTTTATTTATTTAATGAATTCATTCATTTGGGTATATTTTTAAATATTATTATTTGCTTTCTTGGTTTAATTATTTAAGTATTTAAACGTTGCCTTTATCCGTATCCGTTTGATATTCTCATACAGAATATCACCTTAGTCTGCTCTGTATAAAATTGTTCAAGTTCTTTCTGCAAGATTATCAAATCGACGCTGCGGCTTGCCGTAGATTGCTTTCCCCCATTCCCCAGTTCATTCACGAGCACAACTGCACCTAGTTAGTGGCTATGCAGTACCTTCTCGAGCACCGTTTGTAAATATATATATATGTATATACCAATATATGCTTATGCGATCGCTACCAAAGACACTTCCAAGGATCCCGAATTGTTTGGCATTGAGCATGGCAATGAAGCAACCGATGCCGATGCCAATGTCGCTGCCCTTGCTGAGGAGCTGGAGGAGGATCAACAGCAGCAGCAGCAGCAGCAGCAGGCAGCATTGCAGGCAATGCCACAGAAGCGTCACATTGGCGCCGTCTATCGTTCCGGTTTTCTGCCCAGCTACCGTTATTTGCGTAGCCCCACCGGCAACACCGGCGGCGGCTTCGGCGGTGCGGGCGGTCGCTTTAGTCGCTCGGGACGTGCCAGGCAACTTGTATGAGTAAATGAAGATGGTTCGATGTGTTTAGCTTTTTAATTTCCATTTCTGATCGTTTTCTCAATTTTATTTGTTGCTCGATCTTCTGTCTCTTATGCCTGCCTCTGTCTCCTTATCTACAGATAGTGCACTTATATATTGTAGTAGCGACGATCGTTATATCTAATTCCTTTAGTCTAGCTGATCTAGATCAGTAGCTTTGCTAGTAATTGCTTAACTATTTACTCAACTGCTAGTAAATGCCATGTTTAACTTAGTCTATGTTAGATAGATAAGTGTCTTAATGCTATGTTGACCAGCAAGACCTTTTATAGTCTTTACCCTTTTTTTAAAATCTATTCGTAGTTGGGTATCAATTTCTTTCATTGCGTCAGTGACCGTAAACATGAATAGTTTATAAAGATTATTTAGATTAGATTGTGTGATGTTATAATAATTGGAACTTTTTGAATCGATAGATGGACAGATGAACAGTTCTTTAGATATCAAAGGTTAGACAGTATTTCATATTCTAAAACTTTACTTAAGCTTAACACAATACAACCTGGATAATATATTATAAATCAACATGGATACCATATCAATCTAGTTGCGGTGTAATCGACAGCTAGCAGCAGCTTCCAACGGCAAATCAATAGAGGAGGTTTTTAGAAAAACATTTATTTTCTAATTGTATAGTTTTATTAGTGATGGCACGATCAATCATATGATACACAATAATCGATTATTTTTTTACGATTGCTGTTGTGAATAATTAAAACCACATTCGATTATACAAAAAAAAAAAAAAAAAAAAGACCGCGTCGATTTGCCTCGTCTCCAAATAAAAATAGATATACATATATCCGTTATATATTTTTGATATTTTTTGTCAATAACAACAGACACTAGAAATTTCATTTTCTCTAGCCTCAATAGCGGATAAACGGTTTACCATTATACGGACAAAGATATGGGCGGACGGATGGATTGATCGAATATATATAGTTAATTTCACGTAACCTAAAATAGTCTCACATGGCCTAGTAAAACTATCCATTCGAGAGGAATGTAACCTTATTTGATTGAAAGTTACCCAAACTTATACTAACGTGACTTGGCACGCTCTTCTTTATGAGTATAACAACAAGCCTTACGTAATCCAAAAGGAGTTGGAGTCCGGGTGACAAAAGTTCTGATAGCAGTGCTCCCAACACTTTTACTTACGAATGATTTCCTTAATATTTGAGCAACTCAGCACCGGCTATTCAAATCCTTGCAGATGGCAATTTTTTCTTCTATTGTGTATTTAAATTGCATTGTAAAAATTCAATTCATGTTCATGTTTCCGTTAACACATTCGAAACACAATTTCTGTTGATTTTCAAACCGTTTGTCCAATTGACTGCCAACCGGAAATTCAATTTTCCGTATGTTTGGCAAATCTGCTCGCATATTTTTGCCCAGCTCTGCACTCCGGCCATACCCTATAACATTGCGTGTTACGGATAATCGTCTAATTTCCGGCATTTTGTTTGCCTGCCACCAAGGCCATGTGCCGTGTGACTGCCTCCCCCTTCTCCTTCTTTTTCTTTCCATGGCATTCGCTTTAACTGCAGTTTATTTGCTCTTCAGAACTTTTCCGCTTGCTTTATTTCAATTGCCACGCATTTGGCATTTAAATTCAAAAAGTTTTTTTTATAGAGTTTTTGCTTGTGTTTGACTACGTTAGAAATTTTGAAGGAAGTCGTCAAACTGTTCCCGAGAACAGTTTGTATCACTTAATTGTAGCATACTTTCGAGCGAAAAGGAAAATGTGAAAGAAAACATGTTGCCTACTTCTGAGCTGTTGAGAAAATTTATGTACGGAAAATTAATTAATTAAAATTTATATATATTTTTCTGAAAATTCTGTGTAATTTGCTACATTTAAACAAATTTATTTATATATGTATGTTTTCATTTATTTTTGAAGAAATGTTAAGTGTTTGTTTTCTTGATGGCATTTAAGTGCTTAAAGCTTGTTTTTTTCAGCGCATTGGCATGTTTCTAAAGAGTCGACCCATTGGCATGTTCTGACTTGGTCTATGTATAAGCTGTCTTGATTTATTTGCTTTAGTTTAATTTAGTGCTCTTGCAGTAATCTAGGTGTAGGCTGGTTGCAGTACATCGTATTGTTGCATGTGTTCCGGTACAACACGGCGATCGAGATATTATAATGCATACATTGTTATTGTACAGCTGTTGAATTATTCACCAAGTTTGAAAGCAAGAAAACTAATGTATGGGTGCGTGTGTGTTTTGGTTTCCTTTCTTTTTCTTTTTCCTTTGATTTTTTTGTTACTACAGGTCGAGTACTACCCCCAACACGAGCGACTGCGTCAACCAATCGCAGCCGTTTGTAAACGTTGTTTCCTACCAAATCGACCGATGATGAACTGGAGCGGTGCTGGCATACGCGGTAGTCTGTCCAAATTCTATGTGGATCCCATCATCGAAACGGCCAGATCATCGGCAGCAAACGCAGCACGCATACGCAGCATTTCCACCAATTCGCTGCCGAGTGGCCCAAGCAAGAGCCGAATCTACCCCTTCCATTCGTGGGGCACACCGCCGCGTATTACAGCATTGCAACGGGGCGTCTATCGACGCAACGGTGAGTCCATGGACAATTACGAATACTAAACTCTATATAGATATCGCGACAATATAATCCCAAAATAACAATAACAATAACAATATCGTATGCAGAATTTTACAT